CGGGGCCGGGGCCGGGGCCTGCCGGGGCCGTGCTGCCCCGCACTGGGCCCCGCGCCTCAACCCAGCGTCTGCCCCGACTGATCACACGCACACGCACACGCACACGCACACGCGGCACCTCCCTGCTCCGGCACAAGGGCCTGGGCAGGGCTGGTCCAGGCACGGGGGCGGTGGACCCTGCCACCCTGGCTGCATGGCCGCGCTCTGGACAGCCTCTGCTCTGGGAGAAGCTGGGAGGCGCTGGCACCTCCAGGCTCCAGCTGTTCCCTGGGCAAGAGCCTGCTCAGCCCAGCCCTGTGCCCCCCTCCCTGCCCTCGCAGCATGAGCAGAGCAGCTGGAAGGTGGAGGCAGCGGCTAGGGGCTAGGCCCAGGCAGAGTGCAGCATGGCCGCAGCCCGGCCCAGCCCCTGGCAGCAGCACCAGCCACCAGCCACCAGCCACCAGCCACCAGCAAGGAGGGCACGGGAAGGGGCACCAGCCTCCGTCTGCTCCGCTGGTTCCTACTGCACCACACCAGGGCTCTGGCAGCCTTGCTCCCAGCCAGCCCAGCCTCAGCAGGGGAGCTCCCGCTGCTCTACCTGCCCCAGCTCAGAGCTGACCCCAGGGTCATTCCCCCTCTCTCCCCCGCAGCCATCTGGAGGGGTGCAGCATGGCGCAGCCACAGCTGGCACGCAACGGGGCTGGCTCCCAGCCAGCACCCAGCAGGCACTGCCCCTCACTCCCTCCCCGGCCCTCCTGCAGCCTCCCAGCTGCTGGCTGCGTTCCCAGCCTGCACGGAGCTGCCAGGCCTGAGCAGGGGCTGAGGGATGGTAGGGCTGGCAGAGGTGAATGTTTAACCATCGGCTCCGTTCAGGCAGCTCTGGGCAGGCTGGGGTCGGTTCTGGCCGGGAAAGGCTGCAGGGGAGGGGACAGCCAAGCACTGGAGCGCTGCAGACTTCACCGTGTAGAGAGCTGGGGACGGAGCCATGTCCGAGCCGGAGCAGGGCCAGGAGCCGGGGCTGGGCACAGGGGCCAGGCCACAACAGCCAGCCCAGCAGGCCCGGTAAGGAAGAGTCCCAGGCAGGGGAGGCCCCTGCGGGCATGGAGGCATGGCTGGGAGGGTTGCTCATGCCCAGGGGAGGCAGAGGGCTGCACAGTTGGCTGGGCCTCCACCCCAAGTGCGCTGGGCCCATCCCCTCCACCAGGAAGAGTCAGCAGTCCCGTGCCCAGGCCGGGGAGTGCTAGGGCTGCAGTGGGGGAGGTGCAGGGTGCTGGGGCGTCGGGGCTGTGTCTTGGAGCTGTCCCTGCCCTGGCACCAGTGCAAGGCATCTGCATCCATCCGTGCTGTCTGCTTTTCCCGAGGCGCCCTGATGAGGAGCTGGCAGAGCCCACCCAGGGGCAGGCAACGCGCCTCTGTGTGGTGGTCAGGTACGCAGAAGGCAGAAGGGCCAGGGCGCCTGCAGCCAGCTCCGAGTGTGGGCAGGCCCGGGTCCCTGTGGCCACAGGTGGGGCAGACGCCGGACTTGGAATGGGGCTCCACAGGAGTGGGGGCTGTGTGAGGGGCAGGGGCTGGGGCCGAGCCAGCACCTGGGGTGACTGTGGCCATTCCCCTGGGCAGGGTGCGGCCGCTGAGCCGCGCAGAGCGCGGCAGAGGGGACCGGCAGGCGGTGCGCTGCCCCGGCGATAACACCGTCTCGGTGAGTGCCTCCCCCCTGCGGCGCAGAGCCTGCAGGCAGAGCTGCCCCTGAGCCCAGGCCTCTCTCCCACTGCCAGGTGCATGAGGCAGGGCAGGAGGCTGCATTTGGATTCGGTGCAGTGTTCGACGCCAGTGCGGACCAGGCCACGGTGTTTGAGGGCAGCGGGGTGAAGCGGCTCGTCGAGCTGGCGGTGGATGGGTAAGAGCCCAGCGCCCACCTTTGGGGTCTCCCCCCCACCAGCTGTGGGCTAGGGCCCCTGCCTGGGCACCCTGTGCTACCCTGCACGTGCACGGACCCCTGCCTGCCCCCGACCTCTCCCCCAGCCATGCACGCATCTGCCAGGGCCTCCTCACCCCCTCCAATGGCTCCAGCAGCTTCTGGACTGCGCTGGCAGGCACCCTCTCCCCACACCCGGCAGCACCTGCCCACTCCCAGGGATGACACAATGATGCTGTGGCAAAATCCCGGCCAGATCCAGCCCTGCTGACCTGTGCTCTGGAAGGTGCAGCTTCAGGCTGCTGCAGGACCCCCAGGGGCTGAGCCGCCTTTGCCCCGCTCCCCAGGTTCTCCTGCACCGTCTTTGCCTTTGGGCAGACAGGCTCGGGGAAGACCTACACACTGACAGGGCCCCCGGCTCAGGTGAGCACAGCCCCCGCCTGCCGCCACCCGCACGGTGAGGTCCCACCGTGCCCAGATCCGGGGCAGGAGCGCTGGGCTGTGCTCCCACAGCAGGCACCCCGCGGCTCTCCCCTGCAGGGCGAGGGCCAGGTGGTGCCCAGCCTCCGGGGTCTGATGCAGCGCTCCTTCGCCTGGCTCCTGGAGCAGAGCCAGTGCCGCAGGCCTGATGTTGCCCTCAGTGCGTCCTACGTGGAGATCTACAATGAGCAGGTAGGAGCCCGCCCTGCCGCATCCCCACTGCCAGCCCAGACCCCTACATCCCAGCCACATCCCCCCACCCCACATCCTCCCTGCCCCAGGTGAGGGACCTGCTGAGCCCAGGACCCCCCTGCCCTCTGCCCTTGCGCTGGAGCAAAGCAGGGGGCTTCTACATTGAGGGGCTGCTCAGCACGGAGATCGAGGGCCTGGAGACCATCATGGACCTGCTGCAGGAAGGTACCGGGGGCGGTCTGGGCTGGGCAGGGCCCAGCGGCACTGAGTGTGGCCTGCAGGGAGGCGTCGGGTTCGCGAGTGGCCAGCCTGAGCCCAGAAGGGGCTGTGGCCGGGGCTGGTGGTTGTAGGCTCCTGCCCATCGGTGAGGGCAGGCTGGGGTGGGCAGCTCAGCCCCCAGCAGCCCCTGCCCCCCCGGGGCCTCCCATTGCAGGCATGCAGCGGCGGCAAAGCTCCGCACACGCACTGAACGGGCACTCGAGCCGCAGCCACGCACTGCTGACCGTGCAGCTGCATGCCCGCGGTGAGGCGGTAAGTGGGCACGTCTCAGGGGTGCAGCAAAGGGGGCACGTAGAGGGGCACCATGGAGGGACGCATAGGAATATCCATTTGCCCATGCTCAGGGGGGAGTACGGCAGGCCCCAAGACCCCCTGGCACAGGGCTCCTCAGGCTGCCAGGGAGCCAACCTCCTTCCACGCCTGCAGACAAGCCCAGGGACCAGCTCCTGCCTCGGCCGGTGGGGCGCGCTGCGCTTCGTGGACCTGGCCGGCAGCGAGAGGGTGAAGGACACCGGTTCAGTGGGGCAGCTGGCCCGGGAAGCCAACAGCATCAACCGCAGCCTCCTGGCCCTGGGTAAGGCCCCGAGCCTCGTCCGGGAGCACAGGGGCAGGGAACAGCTGGGGCACGTAACGGGCTGACGGGCTGGCCCTCCCTGCAGGGCACTGCATCGCACGGCTGGCGGAGGGCCAGAGGCGCCGTGCCCACGTCCCCTACCGCGACAGCAAGCTCACCCAGCTGCTGGCCGATGCCCTGGGCGGTGCCGGGGTCACACTTATGGTAGGAGCCCATCTGCGCCTGGGGTCACAGGCCTGGTGACCCCACTGCTTTCCCCAACCTCACTGCCACAAGCCTGTACCTCCTTCCTCGCCGGTAGGTCGCCTGCGTCTCCCCATCCTCACGGTGCCTGCCAGAGACGCTGAGCACGCTGCGCTACGCCAGCAGGGCCCTCCGGGTCCCCAGCCGGCCGGTGGCAACACGGGTAAGGCTGGCACTGTGCCCAGGGTGGGAGGTGCCGCTGGCCGGAAGACGCTCTCCTCTCACCCACATACCTGTGGCTTCCCAGGTCTCCCGGGAGAGGCGACTGCGGAGCTTGGAGCAGGAGATCCAGGCCTTGAGGGAAGAAAACCTCACCCTGCGCCGGCAGCTGCAGATGCCCAGGACACTGGGCAGGCCCCCTGGCACCCTCACCGCTCCCCTGAGTGCGCATGGCTGGGGCAGGGGCACCTGGGGCTCAGGGCCCTGGCACTGGGGCACCTCAGGCTGTGGGCTGGCCCAGGGCCCTGGCCATGGCGCTGACACCCACCTGCCTGTGTTCCTTGCAGATGGGCCCACCGGCACAGGCAGCACTCCCAGGCCAAGCGGGGTCCCACAGGGGCCACCTGGCATGGGCTGGCACAGCCTCCTACAAGACCTCCTGGTGGGGAATGAGGAGCTCAGGTACTTGCCAGTGCCATCACCTAGTCTGGGACAGCGCCTTCTTGCATGGGTGGAGACTGGCTGGCCCCACAAGCTGCAGGGTGCTTGCTACTCTGCCCACATGGCCAAAGAGGGAGATTGGTCATCCAGGACCTCACCAGGGGATGGCACTGGAGCTGGGGAGCTGCCAGGGCAGGGAGGGGACACTGGGGGAAGATGCAAACCCCCACCCCACGGTGCCCGTGGACTGCTGGCAGGTGCTGATATGCCATTGCTGCACTCCCTGGGCAGAGGGTCTGCCTTCCCCCAGCATCCCCATCCCTGCCGGGGTCTGGGTGGGACTGGGCTGCCCACTTACCCTGCTTGTTTCCAGGCACCTTGCACTGCTCCGTGGCCGCCACTGCTGTGTCCTGGCCCCACGCTCCCAGGAGGATGCCCACATCTCCTGCCCTGGCCTCATGCCCTGTACCCTGCCCAGCCATGTGAGTCTCTCCTGATGAGGTGGAGGCCTGATGGCCCCACAACTGCTCCCCACTGCAGCCCTCAGCTCAACAAACGCCCCGCCCGGGGCAGCCGGCCCCCCAGGCAGTGCGCCAGGACTCCCTAGAGGATGCCATTCGTGGCTGCACCAGGGCGGTCCAAGCTGAGAGCTGTCCCCGCTGCCAGCTGCAGCTGCCCGGGGGGGCGGTAGGGCCCAGCATGGCCAGCTCAGCACCAAGGCCAGGCAACAGAGGGGCTGCAGCTTCGCCTCGTGCACAGTCCTGCCCTGTCCTCACACATGCTGACGCCCCTGGCACACCCCCAGGGACTTGCGCCTCGGCAGGGACTGAGACCCCATCCCCACCCTTTTACTCTGTGCTTGCCCCTGCAGCCCCCAGCACTGGGCAGGGCCCTGCCAGAGCTCCCTGGTGCAGCCCCTTCCCCGCCCCGGAGCAGGCAGGGCGGCGTGGCAGACTCAGCACCCGGCTTGTCCTTGCAGCCGCTGGTGGAGCTGCCGGTGCTGGAGGGGCTCACTCCTGCAAGCGGGGCCCAGGGCCGGCAGCCCAGCCCCTGGAAGAACCGCGCTTCGCCCTGGCCCCGGCAGCACCCCACGGACCCCCAGCCACGCTGGCGGAGGAGGCAAGTGCCCGACAGCTGCAGCATGGGGAAGCTGGGGGGGAGTCCATATGGCATGGGCATGGCTACTGGGGGCATTTGCAACAGGGGCAACAGGGACACGTGCCCTCATTGAGGGTGCCCAGAGCTTGACATGTGTGGAGGTGGCCGAGGGAAGGCAGGGCAGAGACAGGGCTTGAGATCATGGGAGGCTGAGTATGGCCTCGCTGAGCATCCCAGGGCCTGAGCTGGCCACTAACCCCAAGCTTGCCGTCCCACCCTGGCAGGAGCCCAGGCAGAGGCAGGAGCACCGCCGACCAGCACCCACCGAAGCAGCCTCAGGGCACCACACTTCCAGCCCCGCCGCAGGGGCAGGTTGTGCCCTCAGCGCCCCCCTGGCCCGAGGAGCCAGGGCAGGAAGGTGAGCAGGAGGCTGCGGTGGGCTTCATCCGCACAGGAAGGTGCTGGGTGCTTCCCACGAGGTCTTCACTCATGAGCAAGGGAGGTGGCTGCAGCCTTGGAGGCAAGCCCTGGTGGGGCCTTTAAGTGGCAACTCCTTGGCAATGGGGCTCCCAGACTCCTACGTGACTTCGGGTCACATCCCTTTGCCCAGGCACAAGTTCAAGTTCCTGGCAGGTCCCAGGAGCTGGGGCTGGGGCTGGGGCCAGGTGCACGACGCTGACCCTTGTCTCCTGGCCACAGCAGATGCTGCCCCAGGGCTGGAAGAGGCACTGGCCTTGCTGCCAGAGTGGACGCAGTACTGCAGCCTGCTGGGCCCCAGCTCTGCTGGCCAGGATGCCAGCCAGAGGCCTTGAGCACTGGCTGGACGTGATGACTGGCGCCCAACAGTGCACACAGACTCCTGCTCCCTCTGCAGAGCGCCTGCGTCCAGGCTGGCCTGTCATCACACTGGACTGAGGGCCACGGGCCCTGCTGGTGCCAGGGGAGCGCTCACGGCTCCGGGCATGGCCAAGCAACCTGCAGCCCCCAGTGGAGATGGATGGACAGACGGACTCAGCTGCAGCACTGCCTCAACTCACTGTTTATTTGGCTCCAGCAGAAGCTGGGGCGGCACCAAGGGGGTGGCAGGTCCCCCTCAGGTGCGCTTCAGTTCCAGCTGGGGGCAGCCCAGCCAGTACTGGGCGATGGGCCGCGGGTAGCGAGGGCGCACCCAGTCCACACGCATGGTCTTCAGGTTGACTCGGTAGTACTTGTCTGAGAAAGGGACGGAGCCCACGTCACAGGGCTGCACAGGCCTGCAGTGCTTCAGATGCCCCTCTCCCAGCTGGGAGCCAGCCCAGCTCACAGTGCTGGCCACACCAAGCCCAGGCTGGCCTCTCCCCGAGGGTCCCGAGCCCCCTGGACCCATCCCATCTGCACCACAGGCAGGGTCTGGGTGAGGCAGGGCCTCGTGCTGCTCCCTCCTGCCCACCCCCGTCAGCCCAGGGTCTGTGCAGGGCTGTGCAGAGCGGCGCAGCCTGGGGAAGGGGTTGCTAGGGCCCACCAGGCTCCAGGGAAGCCAGGCCTCGCTTGGGAGCCGCGCATCCCGGTACCCACCTCCCACGAAGAAGTAGACGCTCTGGACGGGCTGGCACCGGGTGCCCATGTACACCCAGTCACTGTCCAGTTCCCAGGACTCAGAGTCGTCCTGCAGCCAGGGCCAGAAGCGGCGGGAGGACCGGCCACGGGAGAAGGGCCAGTGCCGGTACTGCTTACGCTGCCGGCGCGACTTCCTCCTCCGCGACTTCCTGGGTGAGGGTGGGGCGACGTAGATCCTGCCCGTCACGGCGGCATCCACGCGGCTGGGCAACCCCCGCCAGTCCCTGCTGATGAGGCGGGGGCCCCTGCTCCTTTCTGCCGGCAGCAGAGGAGACGTGAAGACTGGAGGTGCCACGGCCAGCGCCTGGGCTGGGGACGGGGCTGCTGCACGGGGACTGGCCCTGGGGGGGGGGTGATGCCAAGAGCCCCCAGCGCTGTCCCCAGCAGGAATAAACAGCAAGCAGCAGCCACGACTCAGTGACACGTCCTACTGCACGGGGGCCAGGGAGGAAGCCGGGGCTGGAGAAGGACGGTGCCAATGGGGAACAGAGCGAGACAGCTGTGGTGCACTGGGGCCTCCACCCCACCCCACCCCAGCACCTGCTCCCCCCCCCGCACGGCCGCGGTCCTGGCCCTGGATGCAGACAGGGGCTCAGCTCACCCCCCCCAGGCCTCCCGGGCCCCCTGCACTTACTGCTGCTGAGGCCAAAGGGCATGTGGAAGATATCCTCCCAGTCGGTGCCCACCAGGAAGGCGAAGTGCCGAAACGCGGCCGACTGGGACTCCTGCTCCTCACACTCCTGCCAGGTCGGCTGCTGGGCGAATTCGTAGGACCAGTAATGCCTGCCTGGGAGCGAGAGACCACACGTGGTGCTTCAGGCCAGGCAGCGCCAGGTGGGGGAGGAAAGGGCCGGACCGGGGCCGGGGGCGTCTCACCCACCTTTGAAGAAGTAGATGCGTTCATTGTCGGCGTAGTTCTCCGCGGGGAGTGCGAAGGCCGCGTCCAGGTCATCAGGGATGCCCTCGAAGCCTTCTGAGATGTTGAGCGGGTAGCCGGGTTCCAGGGCACCGTCATCAAAGCGCCAGTACTGACTGCCCTGGGGGGCACAGTGGGCTCAGCCAGGGGCAGGATGCTGCCACACGTCTAGGTTCGCCCCTGGGGTCACTGAGCCTTGCCCTCTCTGCCCAGCCCCAGCTGGCTCACCCACACCCCTCCTGAGTAGGCACCAAAGCCCTGGCCCCTGCCCACTGCCCACCTTGAAGATGTAGGTCTTTCCCTGGCAGTTGATGCGGGTGAAGGCGGCGTCAATGGGCCCGTCCATCCCCCAGACATCCTGGATCAACTTAGGGTATCCGGGCATCACGCTGGTCTCATTCAGCTCATAGAAGTATTTACCTGGGAGGAGAAGGGGACAGGGGCTGTGGGGGAGCTCCTCTTGGGAGCCCCGTGCTCCTGGGGGATGCATCTGCCTCTACAGAGAATCTCTGCTGCCCCCAAGCCACCTCCCTACCCGCTACCTGGGGCAGGACCTGGCTGCCCTGCATGGGAGCCCCCGTGCGCACATCTCAGGTCTGCCCTGGGGCTGTCCATCCCCATGCCTGGGCTAGCAGGTGCTCTACAGTCTGTCCATGCAGGCTCGAGGCGGGGGCTAGCTGCAATGGCACTGCCACTGATGTGGACCCCCATCCCCTTGGAGCAGGGACACGGTTCTCCCGCCATGCCCGGCACCCATGCCAACCCCATACCTCGGAAGGCAAAGATGGAGCCATTTTTCAGGTCAGTGAATGCATCGAAGGTCTGCCCGCTGCACGCCTCCTCCTGCTCCTGCTCCTGCTCCTGCTCCTGCTCCTGCTCCTGGCCCTGCTCCTCCACCGTAGCCGGCAGTGCCTCGGTGGTCACACTCGGATTGGTGCTCAGCTCCCACTGCTGCGTAGGCTCTTCAGTCCACATCTTGCTCATGCTCAGGGCAGGGAAGGTCATGGCCACATCGGGGCTCCCTGCGCCCTGGTCCAAGGAGCCGTACAAGAAGTTGTAGTCATCCTCCGGGAAGGTGAACACGTCCCCGCGGGTCACTGCGGGAAGCACACATGGACCCTTGCTGCAGATGTCCCAGGGACTCCAGGAGCTTGGTCCATGGGCACCAGAGCAGCTGGACTGGTGCCCACAGCATGAGCTGACGCTCATGGGTCTCCAGCCAAAGCTGCTGCCTCCTGCATGGTGCAAGGGAGGACAGGGCCCTGCCCACACAGGAGCTCCCGGGGCATGGGGTGGCAGCAGGTACCTTTGGTTTTGCAGACAGTGTCATAGTCACTGCAGCAGCTCTGGTAGTACATGCACAGCGGGTCGCACTGGCATTTCAGACTGGAGTCGAAGCCAACGTCGCAGCGGCCCACACACGACACTGCACCAGAAGGGACCCGGCAGCAGGAATGACGTGGCTGGCACTGTCTGCGGGGCCGCGGGAGCCCTCTGTGCCCCTCCACCTCCACCCGCCCCAGGGGGGTGACTGCGGCAGGCCCTGCCCATGAATGGCCCCACAACACAGGGGGGTCCCCACCAGTGCCCCACCACACCGGTGATGACCCTGCCGACCTGCCCCCCAGCCCAGGGCTGCCCTCCCTTGGCCACTGTCCCAGGTCCCCAAGTCCATGGGCTCTGGCCCCAACCCTGGCTGCCCGCTGGGGCCAGGCGGTGCTTTCAGCTGGCCTGGTTGGAGGAGCGCAAAACCCACCTTCGGCGGCGAGTGCCGCGCCGAACAGGCCCAGCAGCACGGCTGGGAGCAGCAGCCCCATGGCGCACGAGGGCCTGAGAGCACTGCCTCTGACCTGGGCGGCTCGGACAGGCTGGTGCAGTAGGGGAGCCACCCCCTGCTGCGCCACCCCCTGTTTGCTTAGCCTGGAGAAGGCAAACAGAGAGAGGTCAGCGTGGCCACCGCAGCTGCCCAGCCAGCCCCCCGGCCTTGTGCAGGCAGCTCCAGGCTCTGGGGCCTGCAGGACCCTCTGGGGGCAGCTGTGAGTGGACCTCATGTGGTGCAGGCATGAAGCCTCCCCACCCCGGGGGCAGCCCCCCGCCAGAGCGGGACGGCCCCTCCATGCCCCAGCAACTCGAACCCTGTCTCAGGAGCTCTGCACAGCTGCCCGCTCAGCCCTGGCCCTGAGCTTTGCAGACACGATCTGGAGGCAACCCCGAAAGGGCCCAAGACCGGCAGGGCAGGCGTGAGCAGAGCCAGCAGCCGCGTCGCTCACACCCCAGGAGTTTGGGACTCATCTCGGGACTTACGAATGCTTGAAACTGGTGATGAGACACCCCCCAACCACCACCACCGCACCACGGTGGTCTGGGAGCCATGTGCAGCGGCTCCCCCCCCGCAAGGGTCAGCAGGGTGCCCCAGCGGGGTGGAGGTGCCATGGGGTCCCAGCCAAGCAGAGCGGGGCTCAGCCGCGGGGCACTTTCACTGCTCCCCCCAGTGCAGCAGGCAAACAAAGCGCTGTGTATCTTGTTCCCAGCCTGCCCCACTCCAGTTACTGGTTAACATGACCCCAGCACCTTCGCCCGGCTCCCGATAACCGGCTGCGGGTGTTTCATCACAGGACAAGGAGTGCGGGGATCTGAGGTTCACTTGGGCTCGGCCTGCCCATGTGCCCAAGGCCAGGCTGCATCCTCGCACCGAGGCCTTGGCCCCCCAGCACCCATGGCACCACGCACGCCCGCCTCCCAGGCCGTCCAGCTTCCCCTGGGGAGGCCTGAGGGGAGCTCCCAGCTCCCAGGGGCTGGGCCCGGGGGTCTGGGGACAGGTGGTGACAGGAGCGCTGGAGGCCATGGTGTGGGGCACGGGACAGGCCAGAGCTGGGGGCTGAGGGCGGTGCAGGCTCCCAGCGCTGCCAGAGCATCATCTGCCTGCCGGCCCTCCTCCTCTTAAGATGATGTTGCCATGGTGACAGGTCCTCCTTGGAGGGGCGGGGCCTGTGGAGGTGACATCACCCCCAGGGTGGGGGGGCAGCAGGAGGAGCTGGGCAGGCAGAAGCTGGGGGGTGCTGGGAGCTCGGAGGAGAGGAGCTGGCACGCGGCTGCTACCCAGCCCAGCTCCTGCCCCTGCTCCATCCCTCCCCCCTCTGCTGCGACGGGCCAAGGGCCGGGGCAAAGGCAGAGCAGCCCTGGCCAGCCTGTGCCCGTGCTCCTGGGAGGGGCCGTGCCCCGGCACAGGCCCGCCGGCGGGGCAGACCGGGGATGCTGCCGTAGGGGATGCCCATGGTTCTCACCCTCCTCGTCTCCGCCTATAAACTGTGCCAGTTCTTTGCCATGTCCTCCTCGGAGCAGCTGTGTGTGCCTCAGGACGCGAGCCCGGCAGGCTGGTGGGCCAGGCTGGGGGGCGCCCGGGAGGTGTCCCCCGGGGTGAGCACGGACGTCCGGGCGGCTCTGGACCGCATCCTGCCGGAGCTGCGCTTGGCCATCTCCTCCCTGAAGCAAGCAGCCGGCCCCGCGGAGCTGCGAGGGGCCATCGCCACCATCTTCCAGCTGGTGGAGGAGGCCTGGGTGATACCCACGGTGGGCAGGGATGTGGCCAAGGCGCTGTGCGATGTGATCCGTCTGGAGCGGGGCCTGGACCTGCTGCTGAGCCTGCTCCACAGTGCCGAGCCGGAGACCAAGTGCCACGCCGGGAAGCTCCTGGAGCAGATCCTGGTGGCGGAGAACAGGTGAGCGGGTGAAGGGCAGGGAGAGGGGCAGGAGCCGGGCAGTCGGTGGCCCAGGGTGGCCAGGCCTGATGGTGCCCGAGGAAACATCCTGCCTCGTGTTTTGGCCTGTGCCACGTGCTGACCAGTGCCCAGGCCTCAGCAGGGTGCCGGGGACCCCCCAGACTCTCATTGCACAGTGCACTCCGCAGGGTGCTGTGCGGTGCACAGTGCCAGGGCATCCTCTGTGCCCTGGTTCCCTGGTCCGGGCCTCATCCTGGCAGAGCCAAGCACCAAGCCCTGACTCCAGCAGCGGCCGCTGCACAGGAGAGGGCGCCCGAGAGCTTGCTGGCCGGCCCGGTGCACTTCCACCTCCCCGGCCCCAACCCCCGAGTCAGGGCGCCGAGCTGCCACCACCCTGTCCAGCAGCCATGCACGGCACAGCTGAGCCTGTCCAGGCTCCAGAGACAAGCAGGGAGGAGGCCAAGGCCAGGCAGATCCCTGCTCCGGAAGAGCGGGCTGGGCAGCGCAGGGCATGCGCAACGATACAGAGGGCTGCAGGCCCCTAGTGCCTTGCACCGAGCTCACACGACTTCCTGGGCCGGGGGCCGAGTTGGGGACACTGTCCACGAAGAGGAGACCCGGGCTTTGGGAGGGCCTTGGTTCCTGCACCGTTACTCTGCCAGCTGGCAGACCTTGCTGAGCCCTGGCGCCAGGAGGCAGGGAGGAGCTTGTCCCCTGCAGACACCAATGTGCTCAGCGTGGCAGCTGCAATGTCAGCTCTGCTGGCGCCTGCCTCCCCAGACGGTGACCCCAGCGCCCGTCCGTGCTCACGCCAGCCTCATGCCTGCCAGCAGCCTCCAGGCTGGGGCCATGCTCTCGCCCTGTCCTGGGAGGATGGCGCTGCCCCAGAAGGCTCCACGTGGATGTGGCCCTTCCCATGCCCAGACCTCCCGAATGGGTCCTGCCCTGTGATGCACCAGCTTCCCCGGGCTGCCCCGAAACGTGGCTGAGGCCGTCTCCCTGCCCCTGGCTGCATGGCATCCGATGCTGTCTGCCCAGGTCCTGCATGATCCGGGGGCAGGGCTTAGATGCGCTGCAAAGGACTCTGGACGCAGGCTCACAGGTCAGCACATCCTGCCAGCCCAGACTCAGCGCCCCGAGATGGGCGCTTCAGCCACGCTCAGCTCCCTCAACCCACCTCCTGCTATGCTGGGCCCTGTTTCCCTGGCACTGCCCACCCAAAGAGGGGCTCTGCTAGTGCTAGAGCCTGAGAGGCAGGGGCAGGAACAGGGAGCAGGACATGTCTCACACCCCTTCCCCAAATGGGCTGCAGACCCCCAGGGAGTCCCCAGGCAGGTGGGGGGCCCCAGGGGCATCGGCTGTCCAGAGCTGTCCCTGCTTTTCGCTGCCAGGCTGAGCTCAAGGCCAGCGTGAGCTGCACAGAGCTTCCCAGAAGGGCCTTGCCAGGAAAGCAGGCCTGGCATGTGTCTGTGCGACGGGGCAGGCATCTGCTGGCTGCAGGAGCTACCGTTCCCCTGGCCTGGCCCACGTCCCATGAGTGCTCTTTCCAGCAGCTCCCTTGAGCACTGGTGATAGACCCCTCCCTGCACTGCGGGGCAGGGGGATGCCCAGCCCAACATGCACCCTGGGCAGACCCAGTCCCCAGCCTCCAGCCCTGTGTGTCTGTAAGGCCCCTGGCTGCGGGCTGGGCTTGGACACAGGAGCCTGCAGTCCAGCCCCGCCAGCCCCTGAGCCAGCACCTCCACCTCCCCGGGCCCCTGCACCGAAACCCGCCCCCCTGGCAGCGGACTCCCACCGCAGCCCAGAGACAATGCGGCAGGGAAACGGGCTCAGGCGGGAGCTTCTTACCCATGAAATGCAGCAGCAGCAAGGCTGAGACCCCCTTTTCCCCTGGCTGTGTGGCCTGGCTCCTGGGGGGCACTCACGACAGGCCTCATCTCTCCTGCGTGTCTGTGTCCTGGGCTATGGGGGACTCTCCATGGCCTCTGTCCAGCCCTTTCTCCTGCTGGTGGCAGCCAGGCCACAGGGGCAGGTGCACGGGCCATGGAGCCGGCACCAGCTTCCTGATGCCGGATGAGCCAGGAGGCCCTGGTAGCACCCTCCCCTGCGCCTTCGCCCGATTTTGACCCGCTGCAATGTGCCGCGTCTCCCCCTGCCAGGGACCGGATTGCCCGGATTGGCCTGGGTGTGATCCTGAACCTGGCCAAAGAGCGAGACAGCCCGCAGCTGGCCCGCAGCGTCTCGGGCATCCTGGAGCACATGTTCAAGCATACTGAGGACACGTGCAGCCAGCTGATCTCAGATGGCGGCCTGGACGCCATCCTGTACTGGTGCCGTGGGACTGATCCGATTGTGCTGCGCCACTGCGCCATGGCCCTGGCCAACTGTGCCATGTACGGCGGGCAGGCCAACCAGCGGCTCATGGTGGAGAGGAAGGCGGCCGAGTGGCTCTTCCCGCTGGCCTTCTCCAAGGCGGATGAGCTGGTGCGCCTGCACGCCTGCCTGGCCATCGCCGTGCTGGCCACCAACAAAGAGATCGAGCGGGAGGTGGAGAGCTCGGGCACCCTAGCGCTGGTGGAGCCCTTCGTTGCCTCCCTGGACCCCGAGCAGTTTGCCCACGACCTGCTGGGCAGCAGCGACAACAGCCAGGGCCGTACGGCCAACGACCTGCAACGCCTGGTGCCACTGCTGGACAGCTCGCGGCTGGAGGCCCAGTGCATCGCCGCCTTCTACCTCTGCACCGAGGCCGCCATCAAGACCCGGCAGAAGACGACCCAGGTAGAGGCTGGGCTGGGAGAGCAGCGTGGCAGCAGGGCGGCCTCTGTAAGAGCAGGGCCTCCCCGCTCTGTCATGAGTGTGGGGTGCACGGAGCAACCCAGGGGTGCGGGCTGGGAGTGAGCACGGCTGTGACCCTCCCCCTTGGCCGCCCCCAGATTTTCAACGAGATTGGGGCTACCCAGAGTCTGAAGCGGCTTGTGTGCTACTCAACTGGCGGCACCGTCTCGGCACTGGCCAAGAAGGCACTGCGCACCATGGGCGAGGAGGTGCCGTGCCGGATCCTGCCCCTCGTCCCGAGCTGGAAGCCCCTCGAGGTGCAGACCTGGCTGCAGCAGATTGGCTTCAACCAGTACTGCCAGCGCTTTCTGGTAGGGTGCGGTCCACGGGGGACATGCACACACACACGTGCACACACGGTCTGACTTGCACCAGTTTATAATCTGCAGTCACTGCCACCCAGAGTGACAGAGCTACGCCTGACCCCAGCCATATGGCAGGGATGGTCTAGGAGAGGTAGCTGCTCTTGGCCACATGCCCTATAGCCCTGCTCAGGCATCAGGAGCGTGGGCCGTACCTCACCGAGAACCCCTGGAATCGTCCAACCGTCCCGTCAGCGTCCCCCGGAGCAGAGGGGCCTGCAGGGGCTGGCATGGGCTTGAGGGCTTCCCCCTCTCTGGATGGTAAAGACAATCCAGGGTGCCCACTCCCCTCCATGCACTGCCTGCCCCACATGCACCCTGTAACAGGCCCCAGCGATGGCGCTGAGCCCCCCGCTCTCGGCAGGATCACCAGGTGGACGGAGACCTGCTGCTTAAGCTGACGGAGATGGACCTGCAAGGGGACCTGGGGATGGCTTCCAGCATCACTCGCAAGAGGTAGGAGCCCAGGGCTCAGGCAGCTCGTGCTGCCGTGACCACGTGTCCAGGGCCCAGGGAGAGGCCTTGGACTCTCGTCTGCGAAGCAGCCAGCGGGGAGCCTGGGCTGGGAGAGGAGCCCTGACCCTCCCAGTGTCCCCCTCCTGGGAAGGGTCCCTGCCAGGACAGACTCTGCTTTCCAGGGGGATGCTGGCTCCAGGGAACGGGGGGAAGACAGCACTCAAGGGAAGGGGTGATGGGGCTGAGAGGAGGATCTTGGCATGCAGAGGAGCAGGTTGGGGGCCCAGTGCATACAAAGCTGCAGATTCACCCAGGTTTCTGCTTCTGCACGGCATCCTCTGCCCCTTGATGCCGCCACAGCCATCCAGCTGCCTGCGCATCCATCCGTCCACCTTCGTCTTCTCCAGGCACCTGGGCACCCTTTTCTCTGTCCAAATATGAGCCGTGTCCACACAGGAGCTACTGGTGCCCGCCTGACGCAGGGCCTCGGGCACTGCCCTCCTCTGTTGTGTTGCCAGATTTTTCCGGGAGCTCGTGGAGCTGAAGACGTATGCGAACTACTGCACCTGCGACCGCAGCAACCTGGCCGACTGGCTGGGCAATGTGGACCCCAAGTTCCGCCAGTACACGTACAACCTGGTGACCTGCGGCATCGACCGCAACTTCCTGCACCGCGTGACCGAGCAGCAGCTGCAGGAGGACTGCCATATCGACCTGGGCTTCCACCGCGTCCGCATCCTTTGTGCCGCCAGGGGTATGGGCCTGCCCGGGCAGGGCTGGTGGGGCACACGGGCATGGCCATTTGGGGGTCACTATTCACTCTCTGCTGATGTTTCCTCTTGCATCTAGAAATGCTTCACTCCCCCCTGCCCTGCAGCGGCTGCAAATCCACCTCCAACGGGCCTGATGTCTTTATCAGCTACCGGCGCAGCACAGGGTCGCAGCTAGCCAGGTGGGTGAGTGCTGAGCCCAGGTGAGTGGCCCCACACTGCCCCAGGCATGCTCCATGGACACGGGGAAGGAGCAGCATCTGGAGGGGGCAACGAGGGGGATTCAGCCCCATTCTGCCTCCCTGAATGCTGGTGGGTCTCTTCCCCTT